TCTTGGAGGAGAGACGAAACGTTTCATTAGAGAAGAACCCGTCCAGAAGACCTATATAATTTTTTTCTTTTGATTTTTTACCTGGATTACTGAGATGCATCAGGACAGTTAAAGAGGACGTCATGCAAAATTCACTTTTTTAGCTGTATTCATTTTGTTGTGTTCTCAGAGTCTCTAGGAGTGTAGAAAATTAGAATTTCTCCTGGTATTGATATCTTTGTATTCCTCTTGGGTCATATTTTCAACATTCAGTTTTTTCTATTTTCTATGATGTTTTCTTAACTATTACACCACAGACTTGCCAACTACAATTTTTGGGTCTTCATTGTCCTCTGGCTCTGGGTCAGACTGGCTCCAACATGTAAGGCTGGATGGACAAGTCTTCCCTTGTTGACATCTTTTAATTAAATGTTGGATAAAAGTTTCTGTGCTGTTATATAGCTGTAAATCTTTCTATCAAACTAGAATGGCCTGGAAGCTGGAGGGTGGGGTGTTAAATGCCTGTTTGGATTTAAAGAGACAGCCTTGAAACGAGTTGATCTGAGACAGCTCAGAAAAGAGGTGAAAGAGGGTCTCGTGGAGGTACAATAAGGAGGAATTCAGACAGAAGCATTGCAGTTCAACCTTATATAGACCCCAACTTAATGATTTAAATGTGAAAAAGAAGGATTTAAATGCAGGATATGTCTCCTTTAAGGTTAAAGGTTTTAGCTTTCCAGTACAGATTTTTTTCAGATCAATGTATTGCACCCCTCTTGAAAAAATAATTCAAAAGCCATAAGTCATATTAACTTTTAAGTGTTTTCAAGTAGGGGTATATATATGTAATACATCAAATATAAAATTTAAATGGGAATTCAAAATGAACATTCMGATAGTTGATCCAGTACAGTAGGATATTTTTGTAGAGACCATTTTATTCTATTGTTAACAACTTTGTTTCTTAAAGTTTTTATCTAACACTAATCTTTTTTTATGATGTTGACCTCAACACCAAGATGCTGAATTAAACATTTTTCAACAAGTAGGACATCATCTCTAATAAAGTCATAATGAATTGTGTGTTTTTGGATTTTCTCAGTCTCTTCTGTAGCACAGCTTTGAAATGCCAGCCTGACCTTTATTTTCGTGACCAGGATTAAAGCTGTTCACAGAGAAATAAATAAAGCTTCTGCAACAAACACTTATGACCTTTAATGAATGTTACTCATATAACTGTCACATCTGACAACGACATGTGTTCAACAAGGCAAGCATTCATGTTTCTGTGGGATTAAAAGATAAAGTCTGTTTGAGTGAYGCTTTATTATCCCTGATACAAATAAAGCTACAGAAGAAAAGTCCTTCCTTTCTGTCWTTGTCTCCTCAATGCTCATAAACACACTGTGGAGGAGAGTGACAGAGTCAGCCTGATCATTTCTTCTCCTGCTGAAAGCATTCACACATTCATCACTCTCTAAATGGGAAGCAGTTAAAAGGGGGAGCTGTTGAGACTGGACCTCTCCAGA